AACCACGGGAAAAGATAATGTGCATCATTTAGCCACCAGAAAAATGCAAATTAAAATCATAATGATAAATCATTTCATACTCCCCAGAATGGGTAAAGTAAAAAAATATATATATATATTTAAAAAGTGAGAATGTAGAGAAACTGAAATTCTCACACATTGCCATTGGTGATTTTAAAATGGAACAAGTATTTTGAAAAACTTTGTTTAGAAGCATTTTATAAAGTTAGCTATTCATCTGTCTACCTTATGACCCAATAATTTCATTGTTATGTATCTGTATGAAAACAAACATCTATAAAAAGAATTGAGTCGGGTGGGGTGGCGCATGCCTATAGTCCCAGCTACTCTGAACAATAAAGTGGGAAGATGCTTGAACCCAGGAATTTAATACTAACAGGGGGCAAAACATTACAAAACTCTCATCTCTTAAAGAAAATAAAACTCATATACATGTATTCACAACATATTCACTCATAAGGATCAACGACAGGAAATAATGCAGGCATTGGTGAACAGGAGAATGAATAAACAAATTGTAGCATATTAAATCAATGGAATACAACTCATGACAAAAGGAACATGGATGCATTTCAAAAACATCACATTGAGCAAAAGTAATACTGACACACCCAAAAAGATATCATTCCATTTATATAAAGTTTAAGAACAGGCATTCCTAATATAGGATGATAAAACTCAGAAGCTACTTGCCCCGGAGGCAGGAATGAGGGCAACTGATTAGAAAGGAGCCTAAGGAAACTTTCTGGGGTGATGGCAGTGCTGTGTATCTTGTTTTGAGTGAGGTTATACCTACATATATAATTGTCAGAGTTCATCAAACTATATACTTGAGATCTGTGAATTTGATTCTTCAATTGGGGGGAAAAGATGCTTCATCAGAGAACATTAAGAAAATCCCAAAAAACCAACACAAGCAACATAATTACTTGGTAGAAAGAAAATCAGTATGTCAATAGATCTACCTAATAGCTTTTCAAGGATAATCTTTTCAAGTATTTTTCTGAAGTGTAAAAATAATTTTATTTTCAATTGTAAGTAAATGAATCCAGCCTTATGGGTACATTAGAGCAGAGAAATGGGGGGTGGGGGGTGGTCAGTCAGTAGCATAGAAATTGAAAAATAAATTGTTTCACAATCTGGAGAATTTTAAGACATCAAAGAATCCAAAGAAGCAAAGGTGAAAAGATCAAACACGGGATGCAGAGCTAACAGACATGACTTAGTGGGTTAATAAATAAGCTGAATAAAAACAAACTCAACAAAGGGCTGGAAAGCCTGCAGCTTCCAAGTCACTACCACACTGAGCAGAAACACAGGCAATGTGTAATCAGCCCCATCTCACACTGGGAGCAAGGACTCCTTGATTACAATGGATACTCTCCATTTACAGGCAGAGTTCCCAGAAAATAAGCTAAATAAAGGTATGCAGGAGGCAAGGGGAAAGTAACCTGGCTTACTCCACCCAGCCAATACCTATTTTCAGAAAACAAAATGAAAGTTCTGTCTTGATCTTACCTATTCAAAGTCATTCTTCCCCTGATAAAAGACTAGTGAACACATTAGCTAATGCCAAGGCAAAGAGATTGTAAATTCACGTAAAAGGGTTGCCTTTGTACTTTTATTTTCAAGTCTCAAGACACTAGTTTTAAAAGTGAAATGACCATTTCAACCATGTTATTAATCTCAAATTAGTAATTGAAAAAAAAAAAAAAACTGCTTGAATACCCCTAAGTCAATCCAACTTCACCTTTCTTGCATTTGCAAATGAAAAGCCGGAATTAGCAAACACTTTGGAGGATTAAACCTGTGCTAAAATACAGACTCACTTGCTAACCAATAATTTTCTTTTCTTTGGAACAGCATCTCTCAACAATTTTCCATCCCTGGCTGACCTATGACTTGTCAGAACAAACCAAGGGTCTCCTATTCTATCCATCCTTCTGGCCTACACCCTCTAGGCTCCATACCCTTTCCTGAAGCCATATGTCCTACCTGGATTCTCTTTCATAAATATTTCCACATGAATTTTCTCCTCCTCCCTCTCTACAATGAATGAGGAGCCTGGGAGTTCATAACTCACTCACATGGAGAAATAGGCAATGCACAAAGTCTCTGGATCAGGAGGAAAAGTAGCCTGATTTTGCTTCTACTCTTTCCCCATGTTACATGCATACATGAATATATATACATATATGATAATATAATAGACACATATATATCTGGTATTGTTCTTATACATATATACTTACAGGATACGTCGGGTTTAATTTAAATACCATCATCCTCATGTTACTTAGCTTAATGGTTACTTAACTTTCCCCACTTATTCCTCCCCCCACCCCATTATCATTATAACATCTAAGGAAACATTTCAGTAATGACAGCACCAAGAAATAGAGTCGAGATGGAATTTCTGGCATGAATAGTATCTCTAGTTTTCTTCAAAGGTTACCAAAATAAGCAGAGCTAAACTAAACTATGATAAGATATGTAGAGAGGGATCTTAGAGTTGATCAGATCGTGGATATGTAGAAAGAAATTTGTTTTTCATTCATTGAATGACCAAGGGCATTTACATTAGAGAATTCACAGTGGTATAAAAACAAGTATGTTTTGTAATGAAGTTTATTAACATATTCAAGACAATGTCTTCCCTAAATCATTTAAAAAAAATACTAAAAATATAACAGACACACAAAAGCACCAGAAACACCTTCATATAATGAAAGAACCAGTCACAATGAATGTGACAGACAGTATGTAGAGCTCAGTTTAGGGAGGTTTATTTCTTGAAGCAAATAGACTACATCAAACTTACTTGAAAAAGAAGAGGAAATTTCTGAAGACATTTTCCTTGACCACATATTGGGGCACTGTGTAAAACGTTACCTGTGCCTAAACTACCCTGAACCTACCAATTCCATATTTATAAATATGTGTCAAGCCATATAACATCATGAGAATTTTTCTAGCATCTGAATAGGATTGAGGAAACAACAGTTACACTAAAATAATGGAAAGAAACTCCAAATCAGTTGGACAAGTTAGTCCTTTGAAGTGCCACTATCTTTCTTTTTTCTTTTGGTAAGCATACAAAGGGCCAGAGTTTATGAACATAGTACATTACGGAGAAGGAATGGGTCTCCCCGACATGGAGACGACCCTGGGTTTAATACGAGTTTTCCCCTTTATGCCAATTTTCTAATTCTATGTTAAGTGGAAGGGGGTAGAATACAATTTTTCTTGGAAAGGAGGGGCATCTTCCCATTTTTTATCCTTGTAAGTCAATTTCTGGGGGTTGTCATGGTATTTGTAAGCCATCACGGAACTGACGTGTGTAATTTCTACCATGTTAATAAAATCGGCCACTTGAGGATACTGACACCTTAGTTGTATGAAAGTTCCCAAATCTCTTTTCTTGGCCTCAGCCATATCTCCACTTGTGCCCTCTCTCCCTTGGAGACTCATTTTGGGGAGAGCAAAAGACTGCTCAGTCTTTGGAAGCCTTCTTGGCATGTTATCTTTTCCTCCTTGGAAGCCTTCTCTGGTCAGTTTGTCCCTCTTATTATGGACAAGGAACTCCTAGTCCTATCTCCTTCTCTCCCTAATTAAGTGACATATTGACATTGGTAGAGTGATTCCTCTTATATGGAATATGATTAGAAAAGCTTGAAAAATATTTAAAGATTTTGTCATACTCTCACATTTGTATAATTTCTCAATGAATTCATTTACATACTTAGAGGTGTCAGTACTGGTTTTTTAAGGGTTGGCCACTTCTCATTTCTAGAAGTTTCCTCTGTTACGAATGTATATGTATAGAAAGGTTAGAGCGCACGTTATAAGCTTTGTCACACAGTTCACCTTGGTAGAAAGGACAATATCCTCTTCCATGACAATAAAATGTAGCTTCCATTGAAGTCAAATGAAATGATTTATATGAAAGTGTTCTATAAACTAGGGTGGATGTGTGACGTGTAAGTGCTACTTTATTGATGATGGTGATTTCAATAAAAATAATCTAAAATTAGTTATATTAAAGTAAGATATGGAACAAATCCTTGCTCATTTAGACCAGTCTTCAAAGACACATTTGCCCTACAAATAGGCTCAAAGGATCTGTTCGCACTAAGTGTCTAAGTAGCTGATGAATGGCATTAATTGGACCCCAAATCCCCGTATGGGATTTTGTAAGGCCCATTCAGAATAAACCAGGTTGAGAACACCACCAATTCCATGTTCTGGGTCCATCTGTTGGCAAAAATATAATGCAAACAGCTTTATAAGTGCTATTTTCAATGAAATATCACAGAACAGCTTGTCCCAATGATATTTCTAAAGCTTGCCTGCAAACCGCCTACTGGGAAATCCAACTGAAAGAGAAGGGAGAAGGGAAAGAAATCTGCACGGACAAGTGACAGGGGTCGAAAAGGAACAAAGGGCGAAGAGAGACTGGCTTAGCCAGAGGGACACAAACACACTGGAGGAAAACAAGGAGCACCGAGAGGTGCCACAGCAAACAGCACTGGTCAGAGACCACAAGGAATACAGAACTTGAAGAACATGCACGGGAACCCCTGGGGCCAAAGGCGAGAGCAATGTTCACAAAGGATGCGGCATGTTTAGAGAAGCACAGACAAAGGGAGCAGCAAACAACAGAAAACACAGAACAACTCAGTAATTGGACTGTAATTATTACAACGATCAGAGGAAAAACGATGTGCGATTGCTGTTTTTCTCAGCCTCACCTATCTCTTCATGTGATACCTATATTCATTTTTTCCAAAAGCTCATACAGATTTCAGAGTCCATCAACAACTTCAGAGGGTGCAAATGTCATCCTCTGAATCTCTTCTTTCAATTTTAAAATCCATTTGACATACCATAAAATAGCCCAGGCATAGCAATGTGTGGTGATATTCACGCGCTGGTCCAAAACCAAAACACGTTCAGGCGATGTCACTCCGGGCACTTACCTGGGGTCGAATAACTTTGACAATATTTTTGAGGGCAGTGTCGGGGGATGGAGGTGAGCAGTCAGGTGTTGGGCCTGTCGAGCTGTTTCTATGGTTACTAGTTCCTGGAGTAGTAATTGCTACCTCAGAGGCATTATCTGTGAATAAAAATAGAACTGTCATGAACCTAATTACTCAGTTTACCTTCTAAGACTTGAAATTGCTTTTCTGAATGTGAACTGAGATTTCAACTTCAAACTGGTTATCAATTACAAGATCGTAGTGAGGAATACGTGCAGTGGTATATTTCAAAGAGAATGTTTATCAAATGTTTTGTTTCCTTTTAAAATGGTACATACCCCCCCCCCGCCCCCGGAGTATTTTTTTTCCTGAAAAGAAAGGACGTTATTATTCAATTTGTAATGATGGACCATGCAGCATAGCTCCTATGATTGCCACATGAATAACTCCTATGATTGCTATATGAATGACTGACAGCTCACTTTAACCAAAGAGAGGTTTCTATAATATGAATGGGCTAGCCCTTTCCCCACAATCTCTTAATTGGCTATTAATCCTTATTAAAGTAGGAGTTTCATAGCTCCCAGATTCAAGCCCCCTTTAATCACTTTTCCCAGAAATCCCTCAACTATAAAAAAGCATCCCCAAACAAGAGATGCTGGTGTGGATGTGAAGAGAAAGGGACACTCCTACACCGAGGGTGAGACTGCAAAGTAGTTCAAGCTCAAAGGCCCAAAGGTAGACCTACCATTGGATCCAGCCACCCCACTATAGGATTTAGTCATTTTATCAAGAGACAGGTGCAACACAGTGCCCAGTTGCAAAGACGTGGAACCAACCCTAGTGCCCATCAATAATCATGGGATTAAGACCATGTGGTATATGTGTATCACGGAGTACTGCTCAGCCAAAAGAAAATAGGGAACTCATGCCTTTCGCAATAACCTGGATGGAACTGGAGACCATTATTTTAAGTGACGTTTCCCAATAATAGCAAAAGACAGACCACACATACTGTTAAGCTGGAATAATTGATTGACACCCATGTGCACTTTTTGTAGTAAAAGTCGGCAAGAGTGAAGGAGTAAATTCACCCCACTGGGTACAGTGCACACTGTCTGGGTGACAGGCACACTTATAACTTCGACTCAAACTGTGCAACAGCAATTCAGGTAAGCAAACTATTTATATCCCAGTAATATTCTAAATTTTTAAAAAAGCATCTCAGTGAATGAACCTTAATGAAACGCTTAATATTTGTGCAAAATGTCTTTGTAATGTAGACAAATACAAAATCATCACTTGCAGATAAGCAAGCCACCCTTTATGATCAAAACTAAATGAATGAAATTTTAAACTCTAAATTAATCTTCCCTTATGTTGGGTATTTAGAGAAGGGAGAGAGGATAAATATGATTTGAAAATCAAAAACATATATAACATTTTGTGCTTAAATTTATATTAAAACAAATATCATGAAAGATACAGTTTTAGAATTTTTTAAATACTTGGGAAAGGATGAAAAACGTTCCATAAATAACTACTGCTAGCACACAGAACAGTTATATTACCTTAATGACGATTTGGCAAACCTCTATTGCTTTTAATGAAAACAGTTGCGAGCTCAAATCTGCTAAAATTTACTTCTCTGTTATGTGTGCCCAATAATTTTCTGTCCCATTCAATTTGCTAAGAGACTGAGACTTGGAGTTCTTTTAAGACCAGCAAGGTTCTCGGTTCCTGACTGCTGTCTACAATCCCCAGTGAAATACAGCAATTTATCAGGGCATCTTTTGCTCCTAAAATGAAAGAGGATAAACTACCTTAAAATTCTGCCCATTATATAAAAATATAATTTAGTCTCACTGGGGAATCCAGACACACACTTGTGAAACAAAAAATTCAAGCGTGGCATATTGAATTAAATGGATCATTCATAAAATAAGTCTTAGCAGTGTCCTAAGTATACCCTCTACTAAGGTTTAATAGATACAATGGGATTTCAATTGGTCTGCTGAGTAGGCTATTAAGACTTTAGTAAATATTGAAACAGAAAACATCAGTCAGTAAGGTAATGACAAGATGCTCTGATCTCTCTCCAATCTGTCCCTGTCTTCTTTCATTCATTCAACCACACATCTAAAAACACTTGTTTGGAGGCATCTATGTGTCAGGTATTATGTTATTTTCTTTTTTTTTGCAATTTGGCCAGGGCTGGGTTTGAACCCGTGGCATTACAGCTCACAGCAACCTCCAACTCCTGGGCTCAAGCGAGTCTCCTGCCTCCGCCTCCCAAGTAGCTGGGACCACAGGCACCCGCCACAGCGCCGGCCATTTTTTGGTTGCAGCCATCATTGTTGTTTGGCGGGTCCGGGCTGGGGATTCGAACCCGCCACCTTAGGTGTACGTGGCTGGCGCCTTAGCCGGTTGAGCTACAGACGCCGAGCCTATGTTATTTTCTAAAAACAAATTAAGAAGGATCTCTGGACGGAGGTTTGGAGGAGGGAGGGATGAATGGGTGGAGCACAGAGGATTTTCAGTACAATGACTCTATTCTGTATGATACTAAAATGATGGATAGATGTTATTATATATTTATCCAATACCCAAAATGTATTGCACAGAGAATTTTCAGTATAATAACTCTACTCTGTATGATACTAAAATGCTGGATATATATCATTATATATTTATCCAATACCCAAAATGTCCAATACCAAGAGTGAACCCCAATGCAAACTGTAAACTTTGGGTGATACTGTGTCAATGTAGGCTCCTCAGCGGTGACAAATGTACCATCCGGTGTGGATGGATGATAGGCGGGGCATGGGGTCTGTGTACGGACCAGGGGGTGAGGAATACATGTGAACCTAAAATTGTTCTAAAAATAAAGTCTATGAAAAGTAGAATCCTCCCCCTAAGAGGAATATACCTGAGTGTGGCATCAGACAAGCAGACAAATTACAATGCATGCAATATAACTTGAGAATTGACAGCAGACAAAAGGAGGTTGATGAAAAATCCCTGGGTGGAGCAATCAGTCTGTGACTTGGAGGGAAGATAGTGGTGAAAGCCTTCAATTATCAGGCAAGAAAGCTTGGAAAAAACATACGACATAAGGGCAAGAAGGTAGAAAGAGCAGAGCTGACGCTGTTATTTTATGTTAGGAAGAAATTGCAGATACGTATGGGTGAGTAAAAGGAAGTTTCATTACCATCTTATAAGTTTGTACTTAATTCTCTGGGCAATGGGAAATATTGGAGACTGAACAGAGAGTAACATAGTAGTAATAATAATAGCTAACATTTACTGAGCATTTATTATGTGCAGACAGCATGATAAATTCTCTTACTTATAGAATCTTATTTAATCCTCAAATCATCCTATGAAACAGTTCCTACTATCACCATCCCCATTCTATAGAGCAGCTCATCCCAAAGTTATATTCCCAGTAATTGGCAGAGAAGGATTCAAATCTGGGGTAATGCCCCTTTGCCCTTCTGCTGGTTGGCATGTCATAAGTATGTGAAAGCAATAAAGTTTGGGAGAAGAGCCTGAAGACTACTGCCATAAAAGGAGGAGAAGCAGCCTCTACTTCTAAATAGAGGTGATTCCCAGCCCCACGGTCTTCAGGTTCTGCTCTATGCTCCAATGAGGTCGAAGTATAATTCTCAGAATTCTGATAATGAAATTTTTTTTAATTTTTAAAAATTTAAAAATTGGCTCGGCGCCTATAGCTCAACCGGCTAAGGCGCCAGCCACGTACACCTAAGGTGGCGGGTTCGAATCCCCAGCCCGGACCCGTCAAACAACAATGACGGCTGCAACCAAAAAATAGCCGCGCGTTGGGGCGGGCGCCTGTGGTCCCAGCTACTTGGGAGGCAGAGGCAGGAGACTCGATTGAGCCCAGGAGTTGGAGGTTGCTGTGAGCTGTGATGCCACGGCACTCTACCCAGGGGGACAGCTTGAGGCTTTTTCTCAAAAAAAAAAAAAAAAATTCAAAAATTTGTCCTATGTGGCAAAATGTAATCCCTTTAACTTAATTAAATTAATTGTAATCTAACCTAAAAGAAAATACATCGTGAGCTCAGATGAATGTGTCTAGGTCTCAAAACATTGCATTTCTGGGTGGCACCTGTGGCTCAAAGGAGTAGGGCGCTGGCCCCATATGCCAGAGGTGGTGGGTCCAAACCCAGCCCTGGCCAAAAACTGCAAAAAAAACCCAAACAAACAAACAAACAAACAAACAAAACCATTGCATTTCCTCTGACAAGCAGGTCTTTTTTCTTTTGTATGAGAGTTCACTAACTGTTCTGCCAGACCCAGCTCAAATGCTACCTTCTCTGTGAAGACGTTTCCTGCTGGGTCAGTAACTCTGACACTTCCCGCATCATTTCTCAGATGTCTAAGATGAGGCTCATTACATTATTTACATACACATCTGCCTTCCTAGAGAGTGTGAGCTCCTTGCAGGAACTTCCGCATTTTCCTTGTAATGCCATACCTAAGTATGTACTTGGTTTTCGATAATAAATATATGTGTGCAAAATACCATGTGAACTGCATTAGATACTTTGAAATAGTAAAGCAGTGAAATAACTTTAGTGCCGTATTTTGAGGGGAAAGCATTTTAGGAGCCTTTAGAAAGGACTTCCGTAGAATAATAAACGGCTGGGTGGGAGGAACAATGCTGTCATCGCCAATCTCTTCTGCAAATCAACTCTCATGCAACATTTAGTAAAGTTGCTGAGTTAACTGAGCTGAAAATAAGATACATATTTTATTTTAACCATGTCAAATTGTGCATGAAAACAAAGTCCTAGAAGGCAATACACCAAGTGTTAATGGAACTGACCTCTAGCTGGGGATATTATGGATTATTTTATATTTTTTATATTGCCCTAATATTCTTCACTGACCCTATCTTCATTCTATCTACTTGTATTTGTTTCAAATATACTGGATTTTTTTTATTAAATTATAACTGCGAACATTAATGCAATCACAGGGTACAATGTGCTGGTTTTAAATACAATCTGAAGTACTTTCATCAAACTCGTTGAAATATTGGATTTTTAAAAAAATCATTGTAGATGCATTTAAAATCTTGCTTTGATCTTGTCATCAACCTATTCCT